CAAAATAGATAAATGGGAACTTTTATATCGCAGAAACAGAGAAAGCTAACTGTTTCTTTGGACCCGTTCCTTCCTATGTGAGCGAAACACGTGGTTTCCTGTCTGCCGGCGTGTTTCTCATTTCCTGGCAGCAGATTCGACGCTTTATAGCAAAACTTTTCAGAAAAGTAACCGAAAGAATCCTAAGATATCAAATACAAATACAAAAAAATACATATATTTTACTTTGATAAAAAGTCGCCATTGTAATTTTATTTTATTTTTTGTCAAATTCTTGCGACATCTCTTTTGGATTCTGCTGATTGACGTGTGAAAACACTGGAGGGCGCTGTTGCATAGAGAATTATACCCTATGGTGATATGCTGTTGATAAATATTAGATCTGTATTATATGTTGCTTAATATAAAATACTGTTAAATCATAATAGATATCTGTACTGTTCTCTTCAAGTTTAGGTAGAGATTTATTTCATTTTCATCTGTTTAGAAACCAGCAAGATACATATATATATTTATCATTTTATTATAATTATATTCCTTAATAGATGAATATGCAGATAAATGTTCTCCTTGGAAGACGATGGATCAAAACTTTCAAATGAAAAGTTAAATTTTGCAGTTCCAAAACTGATTAACTAATTTTACTTTTTTTGTGAATACTAATTTAAACTTTAAAGGATTTTTCAAGTGCCCTGCCATGGAGTAGTGACCTGTCCAGGGTGTACCTTGCCTCTCGCCCTTAAACAGCTAGAGAAAGGCACCAGCACCCCAGCTGGGATAAAGCGTGATGGAAAATGGATAGATCTTTCAAGCTGATAATGTTAAAGCATAATCAAATTCTGTTTAGGGTCCTGTATGACCTTGGAACAATATATACAGATACAAATACAAATAATAGTGTAAGTCTTACACTAACAGAATTTTCTGCTTAGGCTAAGTTCAAACTAAGTTGTTTAGTTTGATATCATCTGACCAGAACACCTTCTCTCACGTACTTAGGGACCTTCTATAACCTTTTACGGAAACACAAACGTAACTTATTTTAGCTTTCTTTTAGCAATGTTTTGTTCTTTTGGTTTTTTTGGGTTTTTTCCCTCATGTGTTTTGTGGATACATATCTGGAGTACACACTTGGACAAAATTCAAATTTTGATAAACTTGAGGTTTTATTGTACCCTGCAGAGATTCAAGACATCCCATGCAAGATGAAGCAAACCAAATTTGACATGTAATAATTAATTCATTCAAATATTTGTTCATTTTCATGGAATTTGCATTTACTATTACTTTTTTAGAAATATTTATGTTATTTCTATGACCATTGTGGGTTTTTGTTTCATTAAATGACCAGTACAAATTAATTTTGTCCATCTGTTAATATTTAGATTGGTCCTTTTGATTGCATAGTCTTCCATCTGACTTGACAATCTCTGCAGCTTCTGTAAAGTTTGCCTGGGCCTCTTTAGGGCCTCTCTGATTAATGCATTTTTGGCTTTTCATAATATATGCTAACGCTTTTTTTTTTTTCAAACTTTCTGTGTTTTTGTCCTGACATATTGTAGCAGTTTTGTGTTTGTTTCTGTAACATATTCCTCATCTCACAGTAGAATGGGATGAAAACACCAGGAATAGTACACCAGATTTACCAGTTAATGGTTTTGTTTTTTGTTTTTTGGCACCATCTGAACTTTGACCAATAGTAATAGTTCTTTGTAATTAAGAATATTTATGTAATTATATACACTTATGGTGGTTCATGTAGCTCAAATCATGCAAGGCAATAAAAAATGAACATCAGAAAAAAATTTCTAATCATGATAGGATTATCTTGAACTGCTTCCATGGATCTGGTCCCCGATGCCTCCACCTTTGACTGCTGACCAATCTTCTTTCCATTGGTCCCTCACCGTTCCCCCTGCAGGTGGTGTTCCCACAGGGGGATGGCCTCACGGCGCTCCTTCAGACTGGGCCTGGCAATGTCCTAAGAGGAAGAACCTGACCACCAGGCACTCGCCAACCAACCCTAACCCCAGGCCTGGCTCCAGGGTGGGGTACCGGCTCCGGCGTACTGGGCAACGTCACATGATTACTATAAATTATACCAACACTTTTTTACTTATTATGATAAAGTTTAGCTTGGTAACAAGTTAGAATTTTTTTAACATGAGTTTAGTTCTCCAGGGCATCTGCTCAACAGGCATTACGTGAAGTAGGAGAACAAAATGAACTTTCATCTAAACTCAGAGGTATCAAGTAACAAAATACTAGTACTTCGTTATCTTAATTAAAAGTATAGAGGAGGATATTTTATTTCTGGGTGGACCATATTCCTAATTGCCAGTTATCTGTTAATATGTTTAAATAAGGTCGTCCTACAATCTCGTTCCGTTAGCTATCCTTTTCTGCGAATACGCACTTTCAGTTGTATATGTGTGGTTAGCTATGGTTTCAGTCATTGAAGCTCACCTTCCTCACCGCGATTCTTTTGAGTTTACTATAAAGAAAATCCTCCACAATACCTTTAAGTAGAAATTTTGGCTATCTATACTTTACTGGAGTAATTATTTTTTACACAACCTTTAACTTCTCCTTAAATTCTTTTGCAAATATATCTATTTTCTACTCATATTCTAAAAATAGACTCATTAGTTTTGTTTCACTTTTTTTAA